TTACCTTTCCTGAGCAGCTCGGGGCAGGAGCTGATGGAGCAGTCGGCCTCGGTCTGGCCGAAGTACTGCTCCGCCCGGTGGACTCTGGTGGAGACCGGACCCAGGTGTCCCTGTGGAGACACGAGGGGTTACACCATACTAACATTTTCAACTCAATACCAATACTCAGGGAAATATTCAATACTCGATACCACAAGGATAAAAACAAAGACCCCAAAATTGAACTGAATCAGTAACTGACCTGTTACTGATGTTACGGTGGCCGGTGGCCCACATTAATTACCCTGACCCTAACCCTCCACCCTTAATAATTGTGAGAAATAAATATTTTTTGGTTAAACTTGTTTGGACTCATTGTACAAACCTATTTAACATCCACTATTTTAACATAATATTATGGATAGAGTTTGATTCAGTGTTTGAAAGATCCATTTCACTATTTTTAAATGAATGTTTATATTGCCATGAAGCAATTAGGATTTTCTTGCCTGGGATCTTCCTATTGGGGATGGCCTGTTATTAATAGCCATTAGCCGCAGTTAGCAATTCAAGGCTAACGTCACGTTAATGATCATAAACAACGTAAATAAATAAATCAGAGAGAAGGGGGGGGTATTGATACTTTTGAAAATGAGCATTGTATCCGGATACATTTTATTATCTCTACTTTTTTGAGTATGGATACTTTTGACCACCCTATGAGAGCCTTAAGATGCCCGGCCAGAGGCTCAGATCCAGGATGAAGCTCCGGAAAAACACTCACGTGGAACTCGTTGACAAACTGGGCGAGGATGAACTGGTGCCTCTCGGCGCTGCTGGGGGAGGTCAGCACGTCGGGAACCGTCCGGTGCACCGGGGCCTTCCTCTGGTCCTCCACCCCCTCCAGGTGGCAGTCGAAGCCCACGTTACCGGGCAGCTGGAAGCGCTGGTCCTGGGGGCCGAACGGCCCCATGCTCTCGTCCGGCCACACCGTCCTGGGGCCTGGAGGGGGGGGGGGGCAGACAGACGGGAGGTTTAATTTAACTTAGGATGGTCCCGATCCGATATCTGGATCCGATCGGCCACCGATATTTGCAAAAAAATGATTATCGGCCGACAAGAGAAAATGCAGATCCAGACTCCTGATCCAGTTTTTTTTTTTAAAGTCCGATCCAACACAAACATTAGCATTAGCATCTGCTGACCCCCAGGTCTGTGTCCTAACCATTAAGTTGTTATCAGAGTAAATCCCTGTTCAACATGAGTCTGACAACTAAGTAAGTAGATAATTAACTTTCAACTTTAATACATGCTCTGATAGGCCGGGATCGGATCGGAAGTACAGAAAGCTGGATCGGGACATCCCTACTTTAATTACAGTAGATCCAGAGCTGGTTTGGACCCCCAACCAGATCCAATTCTGATTTTAAATCGGGGCTCACAAAGACCCGACCAGGTAAAAATAATCCGATTGTCATGTTTAAAGAGCCCAAATAAAACAACAGCAAATGTCTAAATATCTTTTAGTGAATTCAGCCCCCTGCAGACAGACAGAACAATAGCTTTAGCCTGGATGTGTTTAGAAAACTTCCAGCTGATCTCTGATGAACTTTTAGGAGGCACAAATGGTTTCCTGAAATGTTCTTAAACTATAAGGGTGTAAAAAATTAAAAATGAAAAAATCTTTGAGGAAAATGGAACAAACATGGATGAGAGAGACGTCCAAAATGGTAGAAACTCCTAACCTGGGAGCAGAACAGCCCAGTTCTGGGCCCTGAACCAGAACCGGGACCAGTTCTGGACCAGCCCCGAAAGGAAATGAAATTTAAAAAAGAGCAGAGCTTAGCTGGTGGACAACAGGATCTCACCTGAGTCTGCCGGTGACACGGAGATGTACGGCTCATCTGAGCTGGCAGCTGAAAACGTCCTGGTTCTTCCAGCTCTGACCAGAGCCAACGCCCGCCGGCCGGCAGCCTGAGACAGGACCAACCTGCCCCGGCCACACAGCACCTGCAGAGGACCAAGACCATCCGCTCAACACTGGGTCATCATCATCTGTCCAGAACCTGACCAGCTATTTATCACAATACTCTGCAACTATCTGTCTTTTTACACTTAAATCTGGCAAAAGGTGCAAATTCAACTAAAATAAGCATCTTTAAATACAGAAAGCAAGTGCTGACAAATGTCAAATAGGATCTAATTCAGAAGTTGTTACAGGGAGTTATTTTGAAACTATCAAATTACTTTAATTAGAAGCTAAAATGTTTTTAAAAGGATATTTTAACATTAAATATGATGCCTAAGACAGAAAAGGCCACAGTTGGAGTCACTGGTTAATGTCCAATAAATATTGTATATTAGTATATAACAATAAAATCATTGATCAGCTTCCTCATGAGTACCGGACAATTTTCACTAAGTACAAAGATTAGATATTGATTACTCTAAATGATATTTTACTTTCCCAAACGTACTGATTTCAGACACATGGCAGCCTTGGTTAGATAATGTCAGTTCATGGGAGGAATATGTTACATCACTTACGCTGCTGGACATTGTGGTTGGTCTCCTTCACCTTTAAAATCGTAATCTGTTGGATAAATTCACAACACAGCTGTAGTAACAGCTGATTCTTCACAGGAGCTTCTTAAACTGCCAAAACAACTTAGAATGACTTAGCTAACAGGAGCTAACTAGCTGGTGTAGCAAACATGAAGCAACAACTATACTAGTTTTCACCCACAACCTCCCAAAATACGTTTCTTGCTCAATTTTAAATTTAACAACAAGAGAGTGTAAATCTAATCAAGGTCAAATAGTTGAATAGCAACCAACTGTAAGAGCTGTTTGCTAACAGCTAGCATTAGCAGCTAGCTTTAGCTGAGGTCAGCTGATCCGATTCCCTTTTTCAAACGCTCATTAAACACTCATGATTCCAGCGTTAAAACAAGACAGCGACTGTCAAAGAAGCCTTGATGTTTAGTTTTAACTTTGCAGCACGAAAAAGTTATTTTTTTTACGTAAGTACGTGTCGTTCTTACCGTCAGTGCTCGTCTCGTCAAACAACAAAGACGGAAGCTGAAGAGGGACATAATGCTCAGTTTACTTAACGCCTTTTTCTTTGGTTTTTTTTTTTTTTTTTTTTTTTTTTTTTGGGGGGGGGGCTTTACATTTTTTAGACTTAACTAACCTTAAACATTTTTTAAAATCGACTAAACAAATGTTCTGCTATCTGTTATTAAACAAACATTTATTGATTTAGGTCATAAAAACGGATAAAATTGGTCAAATCTGGGCAGATTTTGTGATTTTATCATATCAACTCAAAAGTCAACATTATTCAGCATGATATGA